ATTAAAAGATCAGAAGAACTAAATCCCAGAATGGTTCTTATTGAAAAAAGGATATTTCAGCTCTTTCAAATGCAGAAAATTCGATATTTGCACATATAGGCATTCTCTGTTAAAGCCTCCTTGGCAAAGGCCTGTGCATAACCCATGTACGTGCTTTTCTCAGTGATTTGAATAGGCAAGACTTTTACCTGGTCCTCATATACAGAAACATCATATTCAAAATCTTATTGAATATGCTATTTAGTTGTGCGATGAATGTAGTGTTCACGTTTCGAGTAGGTAGGACGCATTTGAAATTCTGATAAGGGTACATTTGAATGGTCGCCCTCCTTTCATTCAAAAAAAAGGAGAACGAATATGAGCCAACCTCGAATGTGAAAAATCATGAAAATCATCAAAAATCCAAAAATCCAAAAAACCAAAAATCCAAAAATTCAAAACTCAAAAAATCCAAAAATCCAAAGTTTCCTGGGAGATTGTCCGGAGAACTTTGGATTTTTGGACTTTTGGATTTCTATGCATAAGACAAGCATAGAAAGAAGCACAGTATATAAAAACAATGCAAAAAAAACCAAAAAAAAAAGTGCAAAAGTGCGAAAAGCAAAAAAAAGTGTAAAAAGCCAAAAAAGTGCAAAAGTGCAAAAAAGCAAAAACAAGTGCAAAAGTGCAACAAATGCCAGAAAAGTGCAACAATGCACAAAAGGCACAAAAAGCACAAGAAATAAGGCAAAACGCGCAAGAAAACACAAAGCACTACAAAAACAACTAGTTTTTCCTGTCCTTTTCATTTCGCGGTTGGTCCATTGGGGGGTGGGGAGGGGGGGGGGGGGGAGCTATGGTTGCCTAAATATATATGTATAGTCACCCCCCCCCCCCCCCCCCCCGCCCCCTCCCCCCCCTGATCCACACCTATGGTTTTGCTGTCTTCGTCTTTGTCTGAATTTCTGTTTGTTCCTCGGAAAATGCAGCTAAACTGTAAGATAATACAAAGGCTATGTTATATTATCCATTATTATCCAATATAAAAGCAGCAGTTGTTTAATGTGCATTTTGCTTCTTAAACGTGTGTCTTACGGCTCTTTAGAAGGGCATGCTTAGAATTTTTAAACGTTTAAGGGTGTTTAACATTTAGATGATTTGAGAAGGCACCGGGACTTCCCTAGACCATTCAACTTTTAAAAGCCCTTAATACCCTTAATGTTTTTTGAACGGGCAGCCCTTTTGAAATTTTCATGGGCTTTCAGGTCTTCAAAGCCATTCAAGTTTTTGAGGAGTTATCGGATTTGAAAAGGCTTTAAAACCCTTAAACACCTGAAAACTATTATCCCTTAAAATTCTAGCATACCTTAAAACCTTAAAAGCGCAGCCGTTTAAAATTCTGAGGAATGTACGGAATTTTGAAAATCCTAAAACCCTTACTTAAACTTTACAAGGACAGCCATTTACATGTGTAAGAATTTCAGGATGTTAAGGATTTGTAAACATTCACAGGGTCTGGGGAAGGCACCGGGGCCCCCCCAGACCATTGACAACTGTAAAAATCCTTAAAGCCCTAAAAGGGCAGCCATTTAAAATGTTTAAGGGTTTTAAGGTGTCGAAAGGCTTTCAAACCCTTAGAAAACGTGAGAATGTTTAAACTGCAGCCGTGAAAATTGTTAAGATTTTTAAGATTTTAAGGATTCTTAAAAGTTTAAATGGCCTGGGGAAGCCCCAGTGCCTTCCCCAGACCATTTAAATTTGAACAAAATTCTTGAAAAATGGTCTGGGGAATCCCGAAACCCTTAACACTAAACCCTAAACACTAAGTAAGCACCAGACCCTAAACACAAACCCTAAGAACTTAACCCTGAGCCCTTAGCACAAAACCCCAAACACTAAACACGAAACCCTAAACACTTAAGCACTGAACCCTAAACACCTAACTACTACACCCAAAAAAACTCAACCCAAAACATTACATGCTAAACCCTACACACAAAACCCTGAACACTAAATCCTAAACCCTGAACAGTAAACCCCAAACCCTGAACAACAAACCCGGAAACTCAAACCCTACTAAATCTAAACCTGAAACCAAAAACCCGTCGGGGTTTCAGATGCTTACTGTTTGGATTTTGGAGATTAGGTTTTATTTGGTTTAGCGTTTAGCCAAGTCGCTTGACCCTAAACCCGAAACCCAAACACAAACATTAAACCCTGAAACCTAAACACTAAACCCTAAGCACTAAACCCTAAACCAGAAACAACAAAGCCTGAACCCTGAACCCGAAACCCTGAACACTAAACCCTAATCCCAAACCAAAAAAACCATGGGGGTTTCAGTGCCTTAGGTGGTTTTAGAACTTATGCATTATAAGGTTTAGGGAAAAAGGACATTATCCAAGCCGCTTAACCCTAAACATCCCACTCTCCCTAAGAAGTAAACCATAAAACATATAAAGAAAAAAAAACTAGACCCTAAACACTGAACCCTAAAAACTAAACCCTACAAACCCTAAACCCTAAACAATAAACACTAAACAGCAATCCCTAAACGTGCATAGGGAGAACATGGGCCCCGCATTCCAGACCTCAGATTTCCAGAGTGAATCTGGAGTACGGGACCCCAGACTCCAGATCGGACTCCAGATTCTGGAGGCCAGGGCGCCGGTATATACTCCAGATTTTTTCTGGAAATCTGGAGTCTGGGGTACTCCAGATTTATTCTGGAGTCTGGATACTCCAGTTTCATGCTGGAAGTCTGGAGTCCGGGGCACGATACTCCAGATTTCGTCTGGAAATCTGGAGTCTGGAGTTCTGGGACCCCGCACCCCTCCGCCAACCCCACATCCACAGCCTTCCCGAGGCCAGGTGTGTGGATCAGGGGGGGGGGGGGGAGGTGAGCGACATGTATTTTAAATGTCTGTATAATATATGTGTATTGTATGTAAATCATGCGTACACTATATGTTTGTTTTGTGTATATGAAATGTATATAAAATGTGTGTTTATAATTATGTATATGTATATTACGTGCATATACGCAATATACGTATTGATGTATATTATATATATGTATGTAATGTGTACATATGTATATATATGTACATTGTGCACAATACTTGCATGTCCGTTCTTTCACATATTCGTATATGCATATGTATTAATTACTGTGTATATGTGTGCATGTACGTAGCTACACTTTTCATATAATATATATATATATATATGTATATATGTATATATGTATATATGTATATACACATGTACATACATATATAGATATGCATATATATATATGCATATATATATATGTGTGTGTGTGTGTGCGTGTGAAATATTGTATATATAGAGAGAGAGGGAATATATATATATATATATATATATGTATACATGCGGTCGGTGCATGCTTAAGCAAGGGCTGCACGGAGGAAACTCGTGACCCAACTGTTTGGGGTGGTCTGGGTTCAAGGTTAAGTGTAGGGGTAGTAGGTCTTGGGGTTGCGATGCTAGCAATGAGTATTGCAAAGCCTGGATGTTGAATCAAGGAGTTTGAGGTTTTTGGCAGTCCAAGGCCTCGCCAAGCATTTGGCGGCGACGCTCCTGGCATGAATTCGAGCTGAAATAGCCAAAGTGCCCAGGCCAACCACTTCGACACCTGCAAAGCCTTCTTCACCTGGGCTTCCAAACCTCCGATGTTCCTGCCAGGATCTCACGCCTCCATTATGTTCACCTGAACCGTTGCTTTGCCCGAGGCTGTGGCTGCAGCGATGCTGCCAGCTCTGCCTCGACACCACGGATGTGCTCCGTCAGGGATCGGTGCCTCTCCTGTCAGCATGCCGAGGGCCTAACCGGCCTAACCTCACAGTATTTCATAGCGTTCATTTCTCCAACTCGGCTTGCAAACATCATGTCAGCTGCTCTCCAGCCATTGGAAGAAAGCCGTGTTGGAACCGAATGCTATGGCACTGTGGCTTGCCAAGCTTCTGCGTCTGATGTCAGATGAATCAGGCCTGAAATCTTTCCGCTGAGCCTCCAGCCTCGACCATCCTCGACCCTCAAACCGCCGAACACAAAGCAACACACCATCCGAAGTGATAACACGGATCCATGGGTGTGGTCTGGCTAGTCCCATCCCGAGATTGGCATCCCAGATTCCAAAGCGCCATGTACAAAGAGCAAGGTAGGGAAGCGCCTCCTGTACATTCAGGCGTTTCTCGGGTGCAAAACCTCCAAGTCGCGTGTGTCAGCCCATCCACCCAGGTGTTGAGGTCCCGCCTGTATGATTGAGCGTCGAGTAGATGTTCCCTTATCACGGATCCGTGGGATCTGGGGAGCCGATGAGAAGCTTGTGGCCGATTGAGAGGCCCAAACATTTCCAGCACTGATGCGCTTGGGGATCCTGTAAAGATTCCCCATTCATGGGTAGTGGCGTTGCTTGACCTTGTAATGGAACCAAAGCACGTTAGAATTGATGGGGTCCCCCAATCTGCCCAAGGCACGAGCAATTTGATGGTGTGTGATCCTTCACTTGTCAGGTGCTTGTCCCGTGACAAAAGGGCCTGTTGCATTACCAAGCCACCTGTTGGTCTTGCCAGAAGCGTCTTCTGTCGGCTAGGCAGAACTTCGAATGGCAGGAGTAACATGACCCTGGCTGTGGCCAGCATTTGACTTCACCAACAAGGTCCAAACAACCCAAGGAAACTCTGCACGGGGTCTTCTGAGGAGGATAGCGGCCGCTCGTCCCCCCTGACAGTTGCGCGCTCGCCATACAATACGTGCTCACCGGGTCAAAACCCCCGTTTTGAGTTTTGAGGCGTGAGAAGGGTTCGCAGCATTCATGTCCGAGGGGATGCAAAAGCGCCGGGCTTGCACAACTACGGCTCGATGCGCGCCACTCGCGAAAGCTTTGGAACGCTGTCGGAAGTTTTTGAACACGAAACGCACGATGTCCGCTAAACTCCTGGACCCCTGGAACCCCAACTCCTAAAACGGGAGCCCTTCTGCGATGCGTTCGGGAACTAAGTGGCTGTTAGGCACGGCTGGTTCAGGGTTGTCGTGCTGTCCTGCAGGGAGGCGCCTAGGCTGCGCAGCTGCTGGGCATGCTCCGACAGCCCCCGTCGTTGCCGTTCTACCAGGCCGCCTGGGCAAAGAGAAACGTTTGGAAACGTGTGATGTGTGATGGGTGATGCTGCAATTGGAACCGGGAAGCGACGAGCTGCAATGAAGAATCAAATGGTGCTGCCTGACAAAATCTTGTAGATGTGGGTCTCGTGCTCTTCCCGGATGCAGTCGCGGCAGCACATGACATTGCAAGCCTCAATGGTCATGCGCTGCGCCACGGGCACGCAAGAAAAGTGGGCGATTGGGTGCCAGGAGAAAGTCAGGCTTCTGATTTCTTTGCAGGATCTTGTCGAAGACGAGTACATGACTGGCGTGCCTCGCAGAAGAACTCCAGCTCGCGGTGCGGATGGCTAGTGCCTATGTACGCGAGGAAGGCTAGAGGTGCTAGAAATCACAGGCTAGCGACAGGCCCCCCGCACATTGCAGCTCGGTGGAGGGAGTGCTCTTGCTGCTCTTGCAGGTCTTTGAGGGCCAGCATCTGGCAGAAAGCAGAATATGGCAGAACGCAGAAAGACACTCCACACCATATGGAACACAAAAGCACAACAAAAACACAACAAAAACACAACAAAAGCACAAGAACACAGCTCCCCTCCCTCTGCTTGCTGCGTCCACTCCTCGAGCGCCGTGAGCATGTGCGCGGCCGAGGCCTTGGACCGCCGGTGGTGCTCGGAGCACTCGGCACAGAGCCTGTGCCGCAAGCGATACTCGCAATATGTCTCCGAGATGAAAGGCAAAGAGAGAGAGAGAGAGAGAGAGGGAGAGAGGGAGAGAGGGAGAAAGAGACACGTTTGGCTCTCCTAGCAGTTATTCAAAGTTGTGCTGCAATGAGGACCTCGAATCTGACTCGACATTGTAAATTGCAACCCAGCCCATGCACGGCTGTCCTCACATCCAAGATCTGGAACGACGGCCGACTTCTACATGCGACTTTTCCGGGTTAGATGATGTTATCCACACCCCGAATCGATCCGTAGAAGAGATACCAGAAGGGGTTGCATGGTGGGACGGAAAGGCGAAGGCAATTGTCGAAGGCACTGGTTCTTTGCGTTGCTCTGGTGCCTGCGCACGCACTGGGCGCAGTACTGCACTGCTGGAAAAGCATCCACACACTCGTCGCAGGTGATGAGCCTTGGACAAGAACGGGAGGGACATGCGCAGTACACTTCAAGATAGGGAGCGTTCCCATGCTCATATAGTTTGTCCATTGGAGTCCATTGTTTGGCTGGGCTGCGGCTTGCCATGCTTGCCTCCCTCCACCTGCTTGACGGCTGCATAGTCCAGCGTCTGGTTTTCTGCAAAGTTGCAGAGGTACCTTCAGCAAAACAGAACAGAAAACTAGGAACGAAATCGACCGAAACAGCGCGCAATGTGGCAGTACATGTCTGGATCGTAATTCAGAAGCCAGGCGCTTGTGATAGTCCTGCTCCTTGATCCGGTGGCCACACACAGGACACAAGGCCTCCTGTCCTGGGAATCTCTCCTCTCCCCTCCTCTCTTCCCATGGACGTGCCATGCTGTAGGTCGGCTTGTAGGGCAAAGTTAGGCTTCTGAAGCCCCATGTGGGTCTATCTATGTCTCGCCCACGGCCTTTCTTCAGGATTTCTTCCAAGCACCGGCCACACGATGAGTGCAAGCAGTGCAGGACCTGCAAGAAGAGCCGCAGATCATGGCAAATCATGTGTGCCCCTTCGTCGCCTCTCATGCTCCCTGGCAGGCCTTGACTTCGTTTCGTCGGCCTTGACCCAACAGCGCCATGTAACTTTCTTCTGGTTTCTAGGCGAGTGCCAGCCTTGACTGAGGACCATGTCCTTGAAAGGCACCTTGCAGAAGACGCAGCAAGACGTCAGTGCCGTCTGCCCACCAAGCTCCTGTCAACAATGCTAAGCTCACGTTTCAAGTTGCTTGAGTTGCTTGAGTTGCTTAAGTCAGTGTGAGTAGTGTTCAACGAATCGGACTGGGACTGGCCTGTACACCTTGAAGTCCCTTGCACGAGGTGTGCGTTCCAAAGCCTTCAAACCGCCTGCTAGGTCTGCTTCTCTAATGTCAGCGACAAAAGCAAGGCACTTGGTCTCCGCCTCTGCCCCCCACATGCCCCTACGAACCTGAAGTACTTTATTGCAGGCAAGAAATGATAAGAAATGTATCCTGGTGCAGAAACCTGCCGAGCTCAGAGACGAACTCCGAGTGGTCGGAGGCGGCCTCCTCAGTGTACGTGAGCGAAGCGGTCGCAAGAAGCCCTCTGAGCCTCAGAGCAGCCTCATACAAGCCGCCCCTATGTAAAAGACCCCTCACCGTCCCTCACCACTGCGCTGACCTCCATGCACGGGCCCGCAGCGCTTTCGGACATGGCGGCCTGCCAAACGTCTACCTCCTGAAGCCTTCGGCAGATTCAATGGCAGATTCAATGGCAGGTGATGCTCTACTGACATCTCTAAGCCTAGACGAGGGCAATGTTCTCCGTCTCTCGGCGGTCTCCATGCACACCCACACACACAAGGCCGAAACATGTTTGAGGCATCACGTGTTGTGTCGGTGGTTTGAGCCATACGGCTGCAGCCCGCCATCTGATTCCTTCAGTCCCTGCTTCCTTCGGCTTCCGTTCTCTCTCACTTCACTTCGTAGCCGTTCTCGTGCAGCTTCTAGGCCTCCATCAGCGGCGGCTCACAAGGCCGACCTAGGGCGGTGACCTGTGCAAGGCACATTGAAGTGGAAGCACACCGAGATTTCTAGCACACTTGCGCAGTCACGATTTGCAAGCTATGCCGAAAGTTCACCATTCCCTCCTGCAAACTCGCTGCAGGCGACAGACCCAAACATCTTCCAATACAAACATGATGCAAGCCACTCTGTGTAGGACTCGTTGCACGCTTGATCCCGAGAAACCCTGGAGACACATATGGAAGGGCACAAGGACAGAAAGAGAAAAGAGAAAAGCAGCAGAAAGCAACTGGCTTCTCATTCAAAAAGCAAAGCCCAGCTGCCTCGCAGTCAAGACGGATGAGGAAGCGGAAGCCTGCCTCGCCCTCGTAGTCCTTATGCACTCGGCTTAAAATGCGCAGAGTTCCTCCCAAACACACAGGAAAGCTCGAGCTCGGGTTCTCGGCATTGCGGGTCCCAGGCCAACGTCCACACCAAAAGGGCCGGCTCGCTGGGTCCTTCTCGGCTTGTCAAGAGGTTAGATGAGGTTAGCATATGTTTAGTATATGTTTGCACTGGTTTAGTATATGTTTGCACTGGTTTGAGACTGAAGAACCTCTCGGTGAGGCCGCACTGGACTCGGACACAGCTCCACGGATCGAGCGGCCCTGGTCCGCGGTGCGCGCGCCTCAATTTGCTTTTCCAAAGAACGAGAAAAAAACAACAAATCCCAACCCAATATGCTCGAAAAAGCATTAATCTTCCGTTCATGTGGGTGAGCCACGCCGTAGGATCTAGCTGTGCTGAACAAGCAAAACGAACCTGTTGATCTGCTGCCTGACCTTGTCTTGCGTTGTGAGACAATGCCCACAGAAGCCAAGCGTTTCCGGGAAGTCTTTTTTTGACCCACCCCACTTTTGTCTGAACCCCCCCATCCCGACCGCCGATCTGCTTTAACTCCTCTCCCTCGTCTGTTCCCCCAACCGCTCTTTGTGACCCCCGTGAATCTGCATGGATATGCCATAGTCCAGTCGTGGGCAGTCTTGGGCGTCTTGCACATGCATCCTCGTCTTTACAGGCCAAGCTCGCGCAGGTAAACGACAAATAAAAGCAGGGCGCAGCCCCGCCTGCCCGCCCAGCCCCCCTCCCCCCCAATTTGCAAACACAATGCATGCATGATTGCATGATGGGATTCAAAAGCGTTGCGTCTATTATGCGGGCGTTTCCTTTGCAAAAGTCTTTGACAAAGGGGTATAGGGAAAGGGTCAACAACACAAAGTCTTCTTCATGGGCGGATGTTCTTTTCAAAGCCGGGTTCTGAAAGAGTACAAGGCAAGTCCTTTTCATGGGACATAATGTTTAAAACTGAGGGGCTTGACGAGGTGCAGCCCCCCCCCCCCTCCCCCGCCCCCATTCGCAAAGTCTTCTTCATGATATTCTTTCGGAGCCCAGGCAAAAGAAAGAACAGCGGTGTTGGGGAGGGGGGGGGGAGGATTCCTGTGATTTAAAACGCAAATCGCGGCACGATCTTCTTTGCAATGCAAGCTTGTGCGGCCTCAAAATATAACATAAAAGCGGTGTTTTTTTTGGGGGGGGGGATGTAGGGGGGGGGGGGGGGGTTGGAAAGGATTCATACATTGCAAGTGTGCTTCATGGCATGCTCTGCGGAACAAAGCAAGCCGGCAGGCACGGATTAAGAGAAAATGGAGCAACGCTAAGTGTGGGGGGGGGAGGGTAGCCCGATTGAAACGGAGAGGGGGGAAGGTCGAACAGAGGACGTGTGCTGAGCCTGCATCTCCCATTGCGGGGGCTAACGAAGATCAGGGGGATCAGAAACTGCGTTGCCGATGCGCTTTTTGTTCATGAGGGCACACCACCCTACTGTAGGCATTGCAATGCATTGCCGTTGGTGAAGACTTGGAAGTTGCACAGCAAGAGACTGTGGAGAGGCAATGAGGGGCACGGAAACATGGGCATGGCACACTTCCAGTCTTCGGCCACGAGGAGTTTGCATCGGCCGCCTCCCGTCTAGTGCTGGCAGGGGGGGCAGGGGGAACGGCAGGGGGAACGAACGATTACTGCTCCAACAACCTGTCTGCCGCGGAGCCTGGCAAGATTCAATCTGGGCGAAAATGCGGAAAACACGAACATGACAAGATGGGACGTGACTTCCAAGTCTGTGGTGGTTGCTTTCTTTGTGGTCATGTTCTGCCCTTCATTCGGACTATGTCTGTCTCATGCCTCATTATGATTTCAAAGTCTTTGGTCCTGCTGAATGTGCAAATGTGCTGGGGACTGCTGGGGTGTGGTGCGGTCAGGTGTGGTACTTGGTGGTCGTTTTTGTGCGTGTGTGAATGTATGTGAATGTGTGCGATCTGCTTGGGGTTGGGGGGGGCTTCCTGTGGCCTCCGGGCCCCCTTCAAGCACTCGGCGCCAGACAATGATGGGCGTCATTGGCCCTCGAGGTGTGGCTTGGGCATCCTCGGCTTCTGCCTGGGGCGCGAAAAATGCGAAAACACACGCAAATCCCCAACCACGTGTGTCTTTTCTGCACGTTCATACTCAAATCGACGAAGTAATCAATTCAATTCAGCAACAACTTCGTCAACTTCTTGCAACTTCGGAACATGAACGACACGACTACGATTCAACATTCACAATGCTAAGCACTTACTGCTCCTCCATCCCCCCTCCCTTCATCCAAGCAAATGCACCCTTCTTCAGGAGTGCGCAATCACAGTATTGAAAACTGAGATGGGTCCAGGCCGTGCCCTGGCTGGGCGGATGCGGAGGTTCACCCCGCTCGATCCCATCGGCTTTTGGGTGGCCCGAAGCATCCTTATCGGTAAACCCAGAACCGAACCGCAACACCAACGTCCGCTGCCTCTGGCTTGGCCGCCTCAGCCGCCTCAGCCTTGTCCGAAACTTCGACTGGCTCGACAGGATCAACGGGCGCTGGATGAAGCTGCTTTTGGCCTGTCGCAAAACCGTTGACTTCTCATGGCCGCACGACCTCCCACTCTCCACGTTCCATTTGTTTAACATGATGTTCCGGTCTGTTCCATATGTTGTCCCACGTCTCACCCAGCGGACCACTTGAAATTCGCTGAAGAAAATTTCGAACGATCAGTATCACGCGCCTGCACAGAGCTCAGCCCAGTATGCCAGGCAGCTGAGCAACTCGCGGCCTCACAAAGGTATGAGCAAAATTGAGCAAAGTGTTCACCAACGTGCTCCTCGTTTTCACGGTCGCAACGTCCGTGGCTATCGTGGCTTCTGTCCTTAGGCCCTGACGCATGGCTCAGCCCTGCTTGAAGTGGCACAAAATGGCAGCGCGGACTTCAGACCTGTCTGCCACTATACATCACAATATATCGCAATATATCACAAAACCGCATCACCATAGCATGTCATGAGCCGCATTTCTTAGCGTGCAGACACTTGCAGACAGCCACAATATGATATATTACGTCAGATTTGTTTTGCCTTTAGCTGCGTACATCTGCGTTGTACGGGCCCAATCGGCTGTGGTTTCGGCTCCGTGAATTGAGAAGCACAAGACCATTTCAAGACCAGTCACTAGGTGTGATGGGCCACATGCGGGTAGTCTCAAGTCCTATGCCAACCCGGACTCCTGAGGGAACATCGACTCTCGAAAAAGGAGCTTCCACGAGGTGAAGCCCTTTTTTGTTGGTTGCGTTTCCCGCAGTCTCCTCTTCCTAACTGGCCGTTCAGGAGGTGGTCGTATCCGGAATCCACCAGGCCTTGCGGCAAGTCTCTCAAAGAGCATCTGAGCTCGCCAAACTCGTCTCGCATGTCTTCATCGTTGATTGTCGAATATTGTCGACACGTGCAGCTTTCTCGCATTTTTTCCTTCCTTCCTCTTTTAATGCTTATCATTTATAACCTTTGCAAATTAGACTAGTCTAGACCTAGACCCGCGCGCCAGCGTCTCGGCCGCGGTGACCACCAGCGCGTGGGCTGGGCTGAAGAGCGCACGGGCTGGCTGCGTGGTGTGACCCTCCAACTTGTGCACCAGCCGCGCCTTAACAAACAGACAAACCTGAGCCTCTGAGTCTCTGAGCGACTAAGCCATCAATTAGCACAACAAAGCACAACTCTCGGCTGCAGCGCGTCCACAAGGACCTGGCATTGGTCGTGGCCCAGACGCACACGTCACCATTGCCCTCTCCACTGATGACATACCTCCGAGTAATGTGCGCATGCAACGCAAAGGTAGGAGTCCAAGAGGAGTCAAGATATCCAAGATGGCGCAGGAGCACTGGGAATCTGGGGAGAAGCTGGGCACCGAAGTTCCTGCTGCTCCTGCAGTGCACGACGATTTTTGGTGCTAGTGGTCCGCTGAGAGTAACGCTCGCAAACGTTCGCGGCCTGTCTCTGCAGGGTACTCGCAAATCATCTCGCCGTCGAAGGCATCGATCAGGACCATCTGTGACCTGGATACAAATGCTCCATACAGTCTATACACCTGTTCTTGACTTCTTGACATTTCATGTCTCATGTCTCTCATGTCTCTCCTTTCTTCTCCTCTGTATCCTTGTGGAAGCCTTCTTTGAGGGGTCCGCCGAGTGCGCACGAGGAGGTACTTGCCACAGGGGCTGAACTGGACAGTCTGCGCCTTCTTTGACAGGCAAGAGGCGGAAAAAAAGAAAGAGAGGAACGGGGATGCAGGACAAGCACAGCCAAGGGCAAGACTAGGAAAAAGAGAGGAAGGGAGAGAGAACAAAAAAAAACAGAGATTCAAACATCGAGATGAACGTGAACACGATCCCTGACAGCTTGGTGCAAGCTTTCATTTAGGCAGGCTCCAAGAAGCATGTGGTCAGCTTATTTAACGACCCACGCTGTTGCGCATGTATAGATACGTCTAGCCAGGTTCCTTCGGTCCCTGGCCTTCGAAGATAGAAGGCTTGTAAGGTTCCTTGAACATGCTGGCGGCCTCCTAATTTGTGGAGCTCATGCTGCTCATGAGGTCCTGTTGTCATATTGTGAGAGATGGCATCTCAGATGGCTGTGTCCAGTTTCTAGCATGTCTCCCCAGTTCATGGCATGGTCGAGCATCTGCTTCGTCAGCTTCTCCGGCAGAGAAATCGGTTCCCACCAGGCTTTCGCAACTCGCTGGGGATAGCTGGGGATCAGTAGGGAAAAGTAAATGTATTTAGGGGGGTTCTGCTAAGTATGTTTTTTGAGAGCTCTGCTATGTTGGGATGGTATGAGGCGGACTCTATGTAAATCTATTGTCTGGAGTTTACCATGACTCAAGCGATCTCGTGCATTTTCTTTCGCAAGCTCAATATTCACCCCCCTGCCCTCGTGACAGTGCAAATACAGGAGTCTCGAAGGATGACTAACCCCAGAAAGAATGTATTCCCCAGGCCCGAACCAGGTTGGACCCCTCATGAATACATTATCCTCCCCTTTTCTCCCCTGTGCTTGTACGGGTATACCTAGCGTATAAAGAGGGCAGGGCCTCTTCATGTATGTTCGGAGATGTTCGAAGCCTGCGAGGCTAAACAAGATTGACATATGGTGACATGCCAGCACTGGGATGAGCTGGGATTTCCTGCATTAAGCCATGCTTCTCCGAGATATTTTCAAACCGCTTTAACCTGCTATCCAAACTAGAAATCAAAACACAAGAAACAGACGCCTTCAGAATACATTCCCCAACCTGCGGGTAATGTATTGGGGGGGTAGTACCCCCCCGCCCCCCCCTGAATACATTAGCTAGGAGCCCGCATGTCGATGGTCAGCATGTCCAGACTGGACAAAGGGGTCCGCGACATCTTTCCAGGCCGGCTCTCGAACAGAAAAGCTGCGGGAGTCACAGCGGGCTTCGCCTTCGAATCTTTCGCTTCACTTCTTGCTCTGTCCGTGCCTGGTCCGTCACATGTGGTCGCAGGTCGAAGGAGGTGAACTCACCTGCAAAAAATGCACGAGGTCAATGCACTCACTGCGTAACTTGGCTTATTGCAATATGAAGTCTCCCGTTACCATCGGTACCTTTCGCGTAGTTGCGTGTGTCGAAGAGGTGAAGCTTCGGCTGGCCCACGCACGCGGCAAAGACTAGGCCCTGCCTGACAAGATCTGACAAGCAACGTTTTGCGGTCAGGCAGCCACACATACTTGTGCAGACTGCAGACAGGACAATCTCAGCCCTGTGAATGTCTTTCAATGCAAGTAATGCAAGTACAGTAAGTTCACACGGCGGCAGTTCGCCAACATTTCGGATTGCAAAGGTGATTGAGCACAGCCTCGAAGACAAACAAACAAGAGCAGCTCACACGAAGACAAGGGGCTGGTCGAAGCTGGCGACCGTTGGGCCTCCGATCCACGTGCGGCAAAATAAAAGAACAGTACTGGCAGAGCCTGCGCGTTCTACAAAGTAAGCTCTGCTGCGAAAGCCTTGGCCATTAATTTTGGCCACGGGGCGCTCCTTGACAACGCTGGCATGCACTCGTAGCTCACAATCCCGTCATATCCCGTCCTGGCGCAAGTCCCACAGGAGCACGCTTCGGTCCTGGCATGCTGCATTTCCGACTCCACTGACATGGCATATCATTGACTGGAACCTCTTATGCCCTCTTCACTTGTAGCCTTCATCCATCTTCGAGCAATCGTGCTTGAAATCAAATGCTTGTTGCGTCTTGACTTGGGTCGACGTCGGCATGTCCTCGGCCCCGGAAAGAAAGAGGTCCTGTCCAAGCAGGCATGCCCAAAACAAGCGAACCACGACAAAGCAACGCCTCGTAGGGATGAGGGCTTACCTTGATGGGAGACAAGTGTCATACTGTGTAAACTGGCGCAGCCAATCAGGTTGCTTGGTACGTGGCCGAAGTAACCCTGGCCGTGTGACTGCGGAAGAGTCCTTGGACTTTGCTTCGGGACATCTAGACTACGGGAGGAATCAAAGCGCAGCTCTGTCGCTCAAGCTTGAAGACTTGCACTTCTCTGGGTGTGCTGGCGCAGGTACTTGTTGTCGTGGAAGTCCCAGTACTTGAGCAAGTGGTCGGCCTAGCGCAAGCGCGGGGTGGTGGTCCAACTCAGATCCCTGAGGCACTATAACATATAATAAATAATAATATAGTATATGTTCGTACATTATTATGGGTTAGGAAATAGGACCCTTCACAGCAACCAAGGAAACAATAAGGCCTCGTTCCTGGAAGCCGCCACTGCGCAATCCCTGCACAAAACAATTTGCGACTCACGTGGGGAGAGGGCCTCCCAATGCCGCCCAGAATCGCCCAGAGCTCCCATCCCAAGATATCCCAAGGCCATCCAAGGTCCGTCCTGTCGTTGTGCAGGAAACGGATCAGCCCCACGCCATACTTCTCGCAGCCTCAAGTTGCTACCATCTTTGGAGGCATTGTCAATGCGCAACGTGTTGTGCTACGAGGCAAGGTGCGGAGGTGCCGGGCGCGGCCGGCTTTCTCGCAACTGTAGACGTAGACGCTTTTGTCCTGTAAGTATTTGGGCAGTAGCATGTGCGGAGAGGTTGCGGCCATGTGAGTGCCGGGAGTTGGCGGTTGAGGATCCTGGCTGTTTGGTGATTATGAGCTGTTGGTGGCACTGCATTGGCCCGTTGAGACTCATCGTTAGCTTTGGCAAAGGTGGGGTTCGATGCCCTTCCTGCAAGAATATTGTCCACACCACAAAGCTTTGATCCTGACCATCAACAGCAACCGTAACTGCAGCGGCAATAACTGCGAAAAGTGAGCAACCCAACTCCACCACGGAAAGCACCAACAGCATCATGTGCTGCGCTGCTGTAGCGGATATGGTTACTGTGCTGTTTCTGCTGCTGCTGCTGCTGCTGCTGCTGCTGCTGCTGCTGCTGCTGCTGCTGCTGCTGCTGCTGCTGCTGCTGCTGCTGCTGCTGCTGCTGCTGCTGCCGCCGCCGCCGCCGCCTGCTGCGGCAGCTACTCCTGCTGCTGCTACATTGTTCTCCGACTGCTTTTACAATTGCGGTTGCAGTTTGGCTGCTGCCGCCGCCGCCGCCGGTATAGTGGCAATTGCTATTGCGATTGCTGCCATGTTGTGATTGTTGGTTTGGATTGTTTGGTTTGGCTGTTGCGACTGTTGCGGTTGCTGTTGCGATTGCTGGCTGCTGTTGGATCTGCTGCTGTGGTTGTTGTCTGCTTTGGTGTTTTCTGCTGATTAGCGTTATGCGTCTTATCGTTATTGTTCTCGTTCATGTTGCTGTTGTAGTTGTCGCTGTCACCTACGAACCTCGCCTCGCCGGAGGTGACCAGGTGCTGGCCGTCGTATGTAAAGTCCATCCTCGGCATTTCACAAACAAAACACAGATGCTGGCCCAGAAATTCAGGAAAATAAATTGAATCCGCCAATGACTTCCACATATGCTTTCCTTGCTTCTGGCAAGCTTTAGGTCAGGGCCCCGTCACAGGACCCTTGTGATCCCGGTACACCTTGCCCACGGCCAAGCTTTGCACCTGACAACCCTCGAACGCAGGAAGGGAGTACATGAGAACAAAATAAGGACGGCATATGTGGAGGAAGAATCGCAAATGAGGTTTGCGGGGCCGAGGGTGTCACCAGCGCATCGCTCAGTTTCACCTCCCGAAGCAGCACGGCAAAAAAGTGAAAGGATAGTAGAAAGCTGCTTGTGTTGCCCCATTCATCCCCAATATTCCCCAGTCCTAAATCCTAAAGCACTCAGCAAGCAAAGGCCTTGGATGCTGCTAGCCTTGGAAAACGGAGCTTGCTGCCCACAAAGAGGATGTACTTGGAGAAGAGCACGAAACAGAATGACGTGTGCTCTCGGGCAGTTCTGAGCCCCCTAACGCAGATGCCATGGCCCGGCCCGGTTCAAGAAGATTATGCGAATCTCGTCTGTGATGAAGCATGCTGAACTTTCAGTCTTGTTGCTCATGCTTTCCCTCTCCCTCTACACACTGGCGCGGCTATTAGCCACCTTTACAAGTGCTTGGAAAAATCCGTCTGCTGATCTCTGTTCCCTTCATGTTCCTCTCACTTGGTTTTCTGTGAGATTCAGCCCGGCCCCCGGCCTGGCTAAGCCTGAAGTCTCATGGCTTCGACGGGAGAGCTCGAGGGAAACATTACCAGCACCACCCGAAGAAAGAAAGCACGATGCCTCATGTTAGCAGCACCGAGCAGCACCGTTGTCCTGATGGAGGTTGGCCCAGTTGGCCTTTTTTTGATCGCAAGTGATCTCTTTCTCTCTATTTCGACAAGAAAACTATACATACATGTACGTAGACATATCTAAATACCTCCCCCCCCCCCACCGCAAGACTATCCCGAGATACCCCGAGAAACCGGTCATACTGAGATGACCTGCAACTGGTTCACGGCAGCTGGTAGGTGAAGGCGCCCGAAAAAAACTCGGAGGGGTGTGGTACACATCGACGTATGAGCGAAATGGAGAAATGGAGACGGTGGTGGCAGTACCAGTGGTGGTTAACGAAATGGAGGCCCAGCGTCGCCGAAGCCAGAGGTGTCCACTTCGTCGGTGGGACGCGTACTGACCGAAGCGCCCTGACTTCGGGTGGGGGACGGGCTTGAGCAACTCTCTCCTGGAATCGGCGGGAATTTGGAGCGAGGTGCTGCAAGATCCAGTATGGATCGGGGGACAGGCGCAACACTTCGTTGGTGCCAGCAGCCAGGTCGAACAGGGGATGTGCCATATCGAAGTAAAGTTCATCGCGAGACTTGGCCGGTGTAGCTCCTTTACTCCTTTAATCTCCTTTATAAAGTTCTGAGCTGACGTTCTCGGCTGAAGTCGACAGCAAAAAAAACCATGCAAAACCAACATAGGAACCTCAGACGAGGGAGCAGCTTTCTTTTCGTCTCAAGGAAAATCGCTCAGGATCGACTAGCTCTCCGTCTGCTGCAGCCAGAGAGCAGTCGGGGGTACCATCGGAGGAAGAAATGCTTCGGAGGCTTTCGCCAGCTGGAGAAGCAAGTCCAACAATCAAGTGAAGCAACGAAGTCAAGACCTCGCTAGAGTTGTGTGATCTACACACAAATCCGCAAACTCCTTCAAATGAAAATCATTTACAAGAACTTCAAGATTCAAGACCTCATCCGCTTATGATTCAATGCCCTTAAATAAGGTTATTCAAACAAAATGCTGTATTTCCTATGTAAGCAAACGGAAGAGCACCATTGGAAACTTCAGGATTTGATTTCAGTCGGCCCGGATCCAAAGATTCGACATTCAAGATCTCCGGATTAAAGGTCAATCCACCGGATTGACCCCTACAATACTTTAGTCCTCTGCATCCTCTCCCCAGTCCTTTATGAATACGAATACATACAACAACAATCTTCGTATTGCAGCATTCAATGGAGATGAAAACTTGTCACCCACAAGCGGGTGAGATAGCATACAAAAGTAGATGTATGTGTATGTACATGTATATATATATATAGAGAGAGAGAGAGAGAGAAAAAAAATGTACACGCACACAGCGCAGCACATGCATGCGGCACGTAGCACCCCGCCCACGGCATGGATCTCTCGCGCTTTTTGTCTCGGCATGGCATGCAACATGCCTTGGCGCCAACCGCGCCCCTGGTATGTTTGGTGTCCCTGCTTGGCCTGCTTTGCAGGGTTTGAGACAGCCTGAATCCTGCAACAGCAACCCTACACTACATAACCCTACCCATTGGAACAGGCCCCTAGGCCCGACCCTGCTATCGCGACATATGTAGAACATCACTTCCGGTCACGTTCCGAACCGCCGCCCCCGCGTCTGGAACCTCAAGGGAAATGCTGGTTTGTACGTTTTAGGTGGAAAGGCATGTGACATGCACGATCGGGGTCTCAGGCTGTCGGACAACGTCAAGCAGGTCCTGCTGTGTCACCTGAAGCAACGCAGATTGATTCTATGCCGCTCCCTGGCTTGGTTCGCGGCACAGACCTCTGGCCAATGCTTATCCAAGAAGAAAAGCTCCGCGTAGGCCAGCTGGAACATCAGGAAATTGCTGAGCCTTGGCTCGAAGTTTCCAGCTCCTTGCCCTTTCCGCTTCAGTTCCATGAGTTCCACTTGACTTCCATGACTTCCATGTCCCAAGTTGTCGCCGGAGCACCTGCGCTCGCCAGACGTCCGGATCAGGATGTCTGGATCCGGCACGTTACCTGTGAGAAGACTCCTCCTCACCTGAGTCGGTGAGAGAATCAGGTCCTTTATCATCTTCACCTTAAGCGCAGCTAACATTCGCCTGCCGAGGGGCGTCTAAGTCTAGTCTCCTTCCCCCCTTACGGACCCCTTTTCTGAAACTTTCTGCACCCGCGTGGGAGCCCAAATCCGATGCCGCGGGGGTTCCAGGCTGTGGGCCCCTCCCACAGAGGAACACCCCCACCTAGACCCTGCAAACCATTCCTGGACCGCTGCCGAAGTGGCACGCCCAAACAGAGAATGGACTCGCAAGCGGTTCCCAGCGCAACCCCACCATTTTAGCACCTGGCCATGGCATCATCGATGCAGCTGGGATCCAGCTCCCCATGCACAGCCTGTTGCAGCTATCGCATGGTTCTGCGATGTTCTCCGAACTTTGAAGGCTTCTAGCCACTTGATGTCGGTTTGGGTTTGTGGGTCAGTCGAAGGTCGCGTCGTTCTGCCTGAGAGGCCAGTTCACGGCAAGCATGGGCCACATCGCCGCGGCCACCGTAGCCTTGGCTGGCAGCTTTGGCAGTGTGACGTTTGCTGTCTTGCTGTCTTGCTGTCTTGCTGTCTTGCTGTCTTGCTGTCTTGCTGTCTTGCTGTCTTGCTGTCTTGCTGTCTTGCTGTCTTGCTGTCTTGCTGAGACAACATCTTGGGTTCTCGAGCCTTCCTTTAAAAGTATTTTCAAGTGCCAAGTGTCGTCGCGCGGCTGCTCTTGTCGTTGCTGCGTGTTGCTGCCAAACTGGGCCCCGTGCTGAGGCAGACATTCAGCTGCAGACCCGTGCAGGAGGATGAGAGCTCCTGTCCAAAGAGGCTCTGGCAATCTCTGGCAGCTCTGCCAGCTTCGAACGTTGCAAGCGGACCCTGAAACTGCGATGACACAGTTCCTCCAACTCCGCGATTGTAGACCTCACGTCAGCTGGCAGTGGGCCTGGCGATTTTCGTTCATCGGAAACCAGATGAAAACAGGAAGCGGAGTACTTCCATGTGAGGGTGTGAGGCAAGTATCAATCCTATTTATGCTTCTCCTCGCTCATAACAGTGGACTGGATTCAGAGACTTGAATGATGTCCTTCCGAACCAGAGTTTTAGTCAACGACCCGTGCCCACCCGCCGAGATCCTCGTTGCAACAGTTGTGAACCGTCACATCAGGAGTCCGAAGTTTTGAGACCAGCTTGGGGGTTCACGGGTTTCCTTCATTTTCCTAAAAACTCTTGTGAACAAAAACTCTTCTGCCCAAGTTTGAGGATGGAGGTTTCATGACTGCGCGTGTCGGCATAGCCATATCTGCCATCGTCCTGCATCGGAGACAAGGAAGCGCACCCGCACGTTGTTCCTGGTAACCGGGATAAGAGATGAAAGCGAGCAAGCGAGCATTTAAACAGGCAATTTTCAGCATCTCTTGCCTCAGAGCGTGGTCACCCAGCCGGGGCACCTCAGCGAGGAAGAGCCGCATCATGGCTGCCACCTGGCAAAGACCAGCACTCTATCGCAGAATCTGCTTCACTCTCTGCGCTGCTGTTGGAAAACCATGAAACCATTGCTGTTTTCAAATGTTTTCTGCCGCTTTGTTTACTTAGTTTACTTGTTGTTCATCTTCTTTTGTTCTCTCGGTGGGCCTCGTCAGGATCCCGCTTCCAGTTCTCTGTGGAAAAGGCGAAAACGGTGAGGACTTCCACCTGGCTGTTTGATCGAGGCCCGACCGGGCACAGCCTCTTTTCCGCCACCAGATTTTTTGCAGAGACTACGAGAAAAACCTCCTAAATCAGCTGGGGCCGCCCCGAGTTCTGCCTTGAGCTCACAAGTCTGAGACGGTCTGAGACGGTCTGAGTGTGCTAAGCTATTCATGACAGGACTTCTGGGGTCGCAGGCGCTCCAAAGCAGAAACTCCCGCAGCTTCTCCCCGCCAGCACGGTGCCCACTGAGGGCGTCCTAGCAGAAATCACGGCGAGAATCGAAACGATGCACGAGAGCCTTCTCAATAGTGCGGGTGAGAAAGTAGCAAAGTGCATCAGTGTGATTCAGTGTGACTTGCTCCGGCGGTCCCCGTGCACGGAACGTCCGAAGCGCCGGTTCCTCCCGTTCCGCAAGGCAGGTGTCACAGCCCGAACATGAGGACTCCAAACAGCAGCCCTCGAGATGGCTCAGAAGATCAGGAGAGCAATTGTATCACCCTCTGACGCAACCTAGCCCTCGCGGTCCCATCCATGATCACCTGCAGCTGAAGGTATTCTGTATGTTGTCAGCTTGTTGACAGCTCTGTTCGACAGAGTTCGGCTCTGCGGCACCCGGCCGCGATGTGTCGGGGGCCTGGGCTGGGCTTAGCCAGCGGCCTGGCAAGCAACTTGACAAGTGAAGTAACGCACAAACGTTTATTCGTCATCTCCAGGGACCATGCTGCGCCCCATCTCGGTGGCTTGATGGCCCCACTCCTGTCCAGTGTCCAGAGAACCGCGTTGTTTGTCACTCTCGAGTTCTCGAATACCCGCAAGCCTATGGCACGAAGAGCTGCCAACAAAGCCCAGCCCCCTCCTGACAGGAGCATGGACATGGACATGTCGAAACCTCTCGCTGGTGCAATTTGGTGCGGTCACACCGAGTCACACCTGCCGCCCCGACCGCATGGAGCGCGGCCCGCACAGCACGCAAACCTGAGGACGCATAGCCAGCCTTGGTGCTTTGACATGTTTGGACTGTGTCTGAAAAAACTAAGCAAACAATCACATTGGGTCATGTTGGGTCCCCCGAACTCGACGTGAACAGCAGCGAAGTGTCTCCATAGCTGGCAGGAACACCTATCTGGGGGGGTGCGGCGCGTTGTTGAAAACACTGATATGATTGGTGCCTGTCACTTCAACACGCATTGTCTTGCTCTTTCGAAAACAGAAGAGGATCTCATTCTTCCACATTCTACGCTTCACAATGGTCATGAACAGAGTGTGTGGAAATCACCCACGACATGCACCAAGAAGTGAGCCAGCAGCATGAGTTCAAAGTGTTTCTGGCAGCGGCCAAAGACCTGGCCGAGGTCATTTGGTTACAGTCCAGTTACTTTTGCAACATCTTGCAACTCTTTCGCGCAGCTTGGTGTAAGCAGGTTTGTGAGGCAAAACGAAGTGCTTGATGAATGTGTAACTTCTTTCGAAGTCAGACGAAATCACCAATCGGCTTCTATCTGCTTAAATGTGATAAACAAAATTCTTCAACATCCACCAGTGAACTGCAGAGGCCCTTGCACGAAACCCTTGCCTTTTCCAGTGGCTTCTGAGGCATGTACATGCGCATATAAACATGGTCTACCATCCGATAGCTTCGCTCAACATGCACTTGCAAGTGGAAGACGGACCGGTCTGTCCAGGAGGCAAAGGAAATACGGGAGGAGAGGGAGTGAGCAATTGTTTGTTCGATGCTTTCACCAAAATGGCCACGGCGTCGATAAGCAACGCGAGACATATCAGCCGCATGCATGCGAAGGTCTACGATCGCTAGAGCTACCCCGTCGAACATGAGACTGCGAGCTCTGCACGACCACAAGGGCTCGAAAGTGAAATGGACCGCTCCCGTCCGAACGTCCAAACTTACGGCAATTGACACCAGCGAAGACCCCAAACAATTAAGAGTGGAATGGCGTGTTCACACACTACAACGCAACCTGGCTTTACGCCGCGAAAATTCAAAGGTATCAGGGAACTACCGATGTTGGCCCAACATCCACGCTCGAGGGGTGGATGTTGGGCCAACACGCTTGAGGGGGCTTGACGGGTGGATGTTGGGCCAACACCCGCGTTTGACGGGTGGGTGTTGGGCCAACATCCACGCTTGAGGGGTCCACGCTTCAGGGGTGGATGTTGGGCCAACATCCAGGTTTGAAGGATGGAGTGGATGCTGGGCCGACATCCATGCTTGAGGGGTGGATGTTGGGCCAACAATGTTAGGCCAACATCCACGCTTGAGGGTTGGGACATGTGGATATCAAAACAACTCAGGATGGCATATGCCAGTAATGATGTGCTCGGTCACCTTGTTTGGGTATGTGCCATCACGGCCGACATCTCCTGCTGCGCAATTGAGCACATCGGCCATGGCCGTGAGAGCCGTGGGTACCTTGAACCTTTTCCTTCAGGATCGGCGTTTCACCATGGCATTCTACTGTACAAGAAGCCTGGTGAAATTGTGGCGGTGGATCGTATCGGATACCACTCGGATCTTCATGGCGACGGTATACTGCACCCCATCGCCAAGAAACGCTCTCAGTACTTGGTGCGGCTCTTAAATGCAGAAGGAACGGATTTCTGGATCATCTCCTTACTGACTTCCTGCAAACACCTCTGCCGTTCGAACTCGTTTCTGGCACTGCTCAACTTGGTTTGATGTTTAGACACTTCCGCTTGACCGAAGTTTCGGGCCGCCACTTCCATGATGGACTCAGCTGAAGTGTTGATGCGAGTGAGCTCAATCCAGTGGCCCATGCTGGTGATAAGCTGACCACCTGATGGGTATGACAGTGCCACATGACCAGCGGCACCTCGCTTCTTCATGTCACCATGCTCAATCTCGCACTTCATTGCTTCAGCCATGGCACTGCCAGTCCAGGCAGTCACAACAGTCAGAACCTTCAGAGTGTAACGGTCTGTGGCTCGCCGGCGAGGGTTCAGAGTGTAAAGGATTGTGTCGCCAAGTGCCTTCACTACTGCCTTGCCATCTCTGGTGCAAAGCTCACCGACCACTTGCAGTTGCTGCGGTACATCTTCATGCGTCAAGTGCTGCGGAAAGAATTCCAACTGAAATTGTTGATCACAACTTCCGGGCAAACGCACAAAGGGATTTGGACCCAGCAGCTCATCGGACCACTCTGACAGAAGTGCCTTCAGACTGAAGTCAGAGCACATCACTGAGAACCCACTTTGCAAAGCAAATGCGATGAAACTCATCGTGGGACTGTGAGCTGACCAACTGAACAAAGACCAAGTTGGCGGTGTCCCTTGAGCTGTGCAAAACCCCTTGTCACTGCATGCTCCGCAGCATTCCCAGTTGAATGTCACACTGTCAGCTGCCACACTGCGGATATCGGCCACCAGCTCTGCCCAAAGACCTTCCAACTCCTGACCTGACAGGAAGCCTTGCAGCTTGGGAGCTGCAAACAAATCCACAGAATATGTGCTGACCTTCTCTCCTGGCACGGTTTCCGGCCGCACTTCTCTGAAATTGTGGTCATAGGACGCACTGGCGGAGATAGTCACAATGACTCCCACCAGCCTGTCTTGCACCTGCTCGGCGTCAGCAAAGAGTTTCTCAACTTCTGAGCTCCCTGAAGAGGACTGGGAAGGCTGAGACTGATTGCCGGTGCTGGTGGTTGGTGACAAGGACTTCGTGAATGAACTCAAGAACTGCATGATGCTGATGATCCCTCAGAATCTGCACGAAGCGAGCTAATACTGCAACCACCTGAAGAGCTTGAACCGTCGGAGAAAACTTTGCTCACAGTGACAACATCAAGTCACATCACAATTCAAACTCAGTATGAAGATGGCAATGCATGATATCGTTCTCTTCAAAACCTGCGAGCCCCGTCAAAAATGCAGCCTTGATCAACATCAACTGCATAAAAATAGGAAAACGCCCCCAAATATTCATCCAATGCGCTGCAATGCTTTCACTGAGGCTGCCCGTCGTCTTCACCCATCACATCACTTTGTCACATGTTCCAAAGCCAGAAACTTATCCAACGGTGAGTCTTTGCCATGAAGTTCCGGTGAGGAAGCTCAAGTTTCAGGGTTTGGGCGTGGACGGGCGTTACAGAGCCACAGTTTGGATGAACTCCAAATCTATCATGGCATGATGTCATTCATACTCATTCATTCGAATTCTGCAGCTTGAATCATACCAAGGGCATGCTTGCAGCGAAGATCTGCCCTAAATGACTGCATGTGAGAAAAACATGGAACGGAATACAATGGAACACTTGTGAAGATTTCACATGTGAAGTATAAAAAGTTGCACCCGCACCTCACATGTGCAAAACGACACCCCACCATGTCGTGTCTCACCAGCCCCTGCAACACCCCATGGTTTTATGATATCAAAATATAGATAGTTTCAGTACATAAAGAAAGCGTACGGTTCTTGTATTTTCGCGAATTTTATGTATTTATCTAGATCAAAATCAAAATTAAACATGTATATAACCATTTATCTAGGCTGTATACATACCTAGTTCCGTTGCCATTCAGACAACATACCAGTACACGTTCACACACACGCACACACACACACACACTCACACACACACACACACACACACACACACCCACGCACGCACGCACGCACGCACGCACGCACGCACGCACGCACGCACGCACGCACGCACGCACGCACGCACGCACGCACGCACGCACGCACGCACGCACGCACGCACGCACGCACGCACGCACGCACGCACGCACGCACGCACGCACGCACGCACGCACGCACGCACGCACGCACGCAAGCCAAGAAGAACATTGTCAAAAATTGCACAATGACCATGTGGTATCAATATTTGCACAGGACACATTGGGTCGACTACGGTTATGTTCAAAAAAACAGGCAAGGAAGTTTAGATCAATCTTGTTCGTTCAATATATTATGTTATGTCATATATATACACATATATACACATATATATATTTATTTATTTATTTACTGTATATACAGATAGATATTATTCTCACGGAAGTTATCAACATCCAAGCTTGAGGAGGGGATGTTGGGCCAACATCCACGCTTGAGGCGTGGATGTTGGACGGATGTTGTGCCAACATCCACGCTTGAGGGGCGGATGTTGGGCCAACATCCATGCTTGATTGCGCCAACATTTACGCTTCAGGGTTGGATGTTGGGCTAACATCCACGCTTGAAAGGTGGGTGTCCGGCCAACATCGACGCTTGAGCGGTGGATGTTGTCCACGCCAACATCCTTGCTTGAGGGTGGATGTTGCACCAACATCCACGCTTGAGCGGTAGATGTTGGGCCTGTTGGGCCAACATGCACGCTTGAGCGGTGGATGTTGGGCCAACATCCACGCTTGAGGGGCCAACATCCACGCTTGAGCGCTGGATGTTGGGCCAACATCCACGCTTGAGAGCTGGATGTTGGGCCAATCCACGCTTGAGGGGTGGATCTTGGGCCAACATCCACGCTTGAGCGGTGGATGTTGGGCCAACATCTACACCAACATCCACGCTCACACACACACAAAGAGGGGACAACCGCATGAAAGAGGGCTAGACAAGCGGAGAGTAGGCCGAGGCCACCCACATGAAGGGAGACAAGCCGAGGCAAGGAGTCAGGGACCCAGCCCACAGCGGGGTTTCTTAGAAACATAAACCCCTACTGTAAACTGTTTGGGGAAAATGTCTGCGATAGCTGTCCTTGATGGGTCAGGATGCGCCGCTGAGGGCGTCCCAACGCTCAGTCCACAGCAGTCTGCCATAGTCTGCCCTCAATACAAAATATAAGGGAGCCATGGCTCGGAGTGGATCGGGGCTGTCTTTCTGATATTCCTGTTTTGGAGAATGGCAGGCAATCCAGACGAATGGTGACACGAAGCCTTCACGCCGACAGTCAACCACACACAACATGGATTCTTGAGCAATGTTAGAGCGACTGTGCATACGTAGACCCACTCCTAGAAGCGACGATTGAACCAAAGATGACTTCCAGTGTCCACCTGCACATGGCTAGCACGGCTAGCTGAGGAAAGACACACAGGTCATTTGCTTCGAGCGAGCCCGCCATAGGGCATGTTTCTTAAGTTTGTCTCGATGTCTATTGCCGGGGAAGAAGCGAGCGGCACATGCAATTCGTCGCATGCGATTTCTCAATTCTGTGCAGCTATATCAATGTTATCTGAAGCTTCGGACTCCTCTGCGTAAAGCGCTTCCGGGTGCCATGACCTATGCATCTTAAATCATCTTAATGTCAAGTGATTTCAGATTTTCTGCTGAGCTCTCATGCCCTCAGACTCCAGGAACACCATGACTGCGTCCGGAAAATCTGCGGTGGCATGTGGAGACGTGAGCGTTCTTGATCCGACTGTGCGGCATGGGGCCCGACGGTGCGTCAAATGACAGTTGCCAGCATAAGTAATTTGTCGGCACAATATGGCACAGTCAGAACCACGCTTCAGGCCAAGTGTGATGTTGCATCAAACTTGAGGGAAAATGGCATCAGAAATGTCAACCAAAAAAAGAACGAATTGCATGCAGCCTAGCCTAGATTGTAAGGAACACACGAAGCTCTCTTCGAGAAGCGCCGCACTCACGGACTGGCACAGAGCATATCAGAGTCAAAGCCCGACAGCGCCAAAGAGCACCTCCAAGCAGGCAACGAGGGGCAACGAGGGGGCAATAGCATGCAGATGACCCTTGATGACCCTTTGGCGCAGGGTTTTCTCCAGGACAATAGCATGTGCACAATTGTAACTGGCAAGGCACTGGCAACCGACAGCTTGCGCGTGCCTTTGCCGATGTGAGCTTTGGACCTATCCAATCCTCGGGCAAGATTCGGGCAAGATCAAAAAACAGTTCAAGTGTCAACTGCGACCCCACCCTACTGGGGTTGTGGCAGGGCCCAGTCGTGTTAAGTGTACCAAGTATGGTTATCACTTCGCCACGTGCATGTTCCCAAGTCTGACAGGGCCCCAGACGGCCCAGGCACCGGGCTTACGGTTCCACGTTCTTCGAAAAAGCTCGCCCGCGGCAAATAATTCGAGCTCCTTACTAATTGATGACCAAGGGCGGCCACGTGAATTAACAATGACCCTCCGGAAAAAATAGCCCTGACCCCAAATGTGCAAACCTCCTCTGCGGTGCCACCAGGCTCTTGGGACGCAGATCAGCCTCTAAAACTTATCAAGCTGAACCCAAACCTGTTGAACGATTTGAACTCAGTAGGATGTCAAACGCTTTGTGGGGAATTCCCCGGACGAAAACCGCACCACCTTGAAAGTGGATTGAGTCCGAAAACTTGGGGATTATTTCGAGAAGCGTTTTGGGCGAAGCAGGAGCCTGGGAGCCCTATGCAATACATGTCACAACATGTAATGCTGCGTGTTTACACGGCTTGTGCGTTTGATGGCCCCCCCCCCCATTCCAAAACAGTGCTCACCATCGCCGTCGATGAAGCTCCGGCGGGCGACCCTTCGCTTTTTATGGGTCAAGCATCAACGAGCTGACAGCATACTGCCTTTGAACCTGCGATGTGAGACAGGGTAATGCATGAAAACGCAGCCCAATGCTTGAACTTCCGAGAAGTATGCGGGGCTGCGATCTAGTTACCTGGCTTACGATAAAGTTGCAACATTGCTAACTAACTATCAGATGCATAACTTTTAGCCACTGGGTTCTTATGCACTGCTATGAGGGAGGATGAGAATATTGAGCAGGATCTGCGGGCAAAGCCCATGGCAGTTCATTTTGCAAAGCAGAGGGCATCACAGAAGGCCAAGAGTTGGCCACCCGTGGGACTCTGGCCCAAAACTTACCGGGGCCCCACCGGGACCAAGCCTGAAGCGTGGCCCAATGGACTGTATGGCACCTGTACAAGTGCCCCGAAAGCCGTGATGTGAACTATTCTTGTTTTGGTAGTTGAGGGCATTCTGTTTGTCATTCTGTAGACCTTTCCTTAACCGAATCATTGCCTGAAGGGTCAGCATAAAAAATCACCTGGCTAGTTGGCTATCCGTGGTCAGCATCTTCGACTCTTTGGTTCTGCTTAGGAGTCCCCATCCGGCAAGATTCCACATGCGCGCGCACGAACGAGCTGATCAACGGAGGCGGACGGCCGCAGGTAGTCAACTTAGTCAACGTAATTACGCCAAAACTGCCAGACTTGAGTGCCACCTGGCCGAGAGTGGCCACCGACTTCACTCACCTGCTAAGCGATTACGCAAGGAGTATTTTAGCACTGATGCCTAGTTGGAATGGCAAGTGCACTCTCACATGTTGGAAAAGCAAGGCGAGGATGCATAGCAGTTTTCGGTTCATTGATTCTTGTTTTTTGGATTGTTCCAGCAGTGTTCCAGCCAAGGCGAAGTGGAAAGGGGAAAAGAAAACAAGCCGGCAGAGTCTGAAGCTTCAGGTGGTGTGGTGCGATAATTTTTGCGCATCTACAGCCAGCGAGCGGTCTTCCTGGTGAGCCTCAAATCATCTCGTCACGGGACTGCAGCATGCTGCAGCGACTGACTGCGACAAAGCCTTGCCTGTGCTAAGAGTGCATTCAGCACAAAACAAACACATCTTCTGCTTGCGGATCGTGCGTCCGAACAATGCCAGGAAGTTCCCAATCCTCGAGTGAAGACCTTAGCTAGACGTACGAATGCCCTGAAGATGCGTGGCAGGGTATGCCTATCTC